GTGTGGAATAGACAGGTATTTGAAGGAGCCATAATGGAGAGGGATATGGTGCAAAGGAGAATTCTGCATACAATGTAGAGCTGGTTTTCAATTACTAAAGAGGGTTTTGGAGTATCAAAAGTAAATGTGGATGAAAATCTTTCAAGCCTCATGATGCAAAGAATGATAAGAATGAAACCTAAAGGGAGATGGGAACCCCTAGGGGCGGGAAGCTTGAAGTTAAATTTTGATGGTCGATCCTTAGGGAATCCAGGGCCAACAAGTTTTGGTAGTGTAGTAAGAATTTCAGATGGGGATATTGCCTTTTATTATGGAAGGCCATGTGGATAAACAACAGTAAATGAAGTAGATCTCTTGGCGTTATTGCAAGGCCTAAATTTTATAATGCGGAGTGGAGTGGAGCAGCCTTGCATTGTAGAAAGAGACTCCTTAAATGTCATTAATTGGAGTAATAGAGTATCTAGACTTCTGTGGCAGTCAAGGACACAAAGGAGGAATGTGATGGAGCTTGGTAATCAAATGTGTTCTCTTTTAGACATGCTCATAGGGAGGCTAATGAAATAGGTTATTCACCAGCCAAGAGTGGTGTTGCGCTTCAATCCCTTCAAGTTTTGAATGTTTTATTTGTTTGAGTTTGATGTATTTCTGAATTAAGCAAGAAAATTTCAGTAATATTGTCAAAAAAAAAAGATATTACAATTATTTAACATAGTGAGAGTAAGGAGTTGAAGGAAGCTAGAGAAAAATCAAACAGAAACCCTAATGGAGGTCCGACCCATAGTACCGGGAGCGGGAGCGAGAGTGGTTTCGGTTCCAATTCCAGGAGCAGGAGCGTGGGATCGATGGCTGCCTGAAGCTCCGGAGCACTAGGAGCGAGATCCGGTGGGGGTAGAAGTCACAGATTGAGATCCCGTTTGAATAGGGAGCGAGATCCCGATATATTGGGATCGAGATCCCTATTTAAATGGAACGCGTTCCATGCATTTACGGAACGAGATCCCTTTTGAATAGAGAGCGAGCTCCAATTTGAATAAGGAGTGAGATCTTGAGACACTGGGATCGAGATCCCTAGTTAACAAGAATGTGTTACATGTAAAATGGGATTGCGCTCCCATGTTTATTAGGATCGCGCTCCCGTCGACAACAAGAACGAGATCCTATTTAACGTTGAGTCTCCCTCCCATCTAAACAATACCACGATCCTGTCTCCCTCCCATCTAAACAATACCACGATCCTATTTGGATAGGATCGAGCTCCATTCTTTGTAGGATCATGTTTCGCATAATAATGGTCCGTGCTCCCATCACAAAACTCCACTTGTATGAAGAATCCAATTGCATTACACGTGACTTCATGCACCAACTAAGCATGGCAGCTCGTTCTCATACGAATGCAGTCTTAATTTGGTTAAATTTATACACAAATGTTCTATCCATCAATGGCCCATGCGGCTAGATCCATGCACAACCAATCCTAAATGTCCATGGATTAATTAAATCTCATTATTCTTGTATGAAATAAAGTCTTCTAATGCTACGAATTATTAGTGTTAATATTGTTCAAATTTGCATACATGATACGAAAATGAGCTTTACGCTGGAAATATATTGACTAGGATTGGGGTTCCATTTGGATGAAACCTAAACATATATGGTTATTGTTATGCTTAAATTCGGGAAATGCATCACCGTTATTTTTTGGTAGAAATAACTATATGAAAATTTTACTAAAAATATTAATTTTTTATATTCAAATGTTAATTTTATTTAAGATTTGTTTTTTAGAAAGTTATAAAATGGTAAAATAAAACTATTCAAAATTTTAAAAATATGATTGTCATAGAAATAAAGGTAATATTATATATATATTTAAATCCAAATTTGGGAACTTATTTGAGAATTAAATAGTATTTTATAAAATCAAAGATATAAGAAAAGGTTTATATAAGGTTCCAACGATAAAATATAGAACTAAGGATGCACCCCACGAATCCATCAGAAAAGGTTGTTTTAATGTTGAAAAAGTCCCTAATTGATAATCCCGACATCAAGACGTGTGAGTGTAATTAAAAAAAAAAAAAAAATTCAGAGTGCCAGAAATTGTGCATCTTGCAACATATTATCTATACCATCCATTTTCGAAATTTTCATATGTTTATAGATCTACAGGATTTTAACCATTTTTGGAGCTTAAAAGTATTTAATTAGATATGCAAATAGATTTTCAGTTAATCCGAAGAAGTTTTTGCACAAAAACTACATGACACGATAAAATTTGGTGGTGCATCTTAATTGCATTTATTAAGGCAAGGATATATGAAATTAGAAATCCGTGAAGTAGAGGAAGCAAAATCCGTTGCGTATGGGATCACGATCCGTGCTTTTGTGGGAGCAAGATCCGTTGTAAATGAGATCGAGATCCATGAAGTAGGAGCAAGATCCATGTTTAATGGGAGCGAGATCCCTGAAGTAGGGGGAGCGAGCTCCGTTGTTAATGGGATCGAGAATCGTAAAAATTGGAGCGACATCCAAAAAAATAGGAACGGCTTCCGAGCGAGATCCCAACTATAGAGCACCGGAGCTGAGTCCTACAGTGGGAGGGCTACCCTAGTTGGGCGCTCCCGGTAACTATGGTCCGACCCCTCAAAGTGGCAATATTATAAATAAAGTTATTATTTAAGTTACTTTTGGGTTTATATTTTGTGTGGGATCATGGCATATTTTTAGTTATTTATAACTAAAAACATGTGATTTTTAGTATATTACTTTGAATAAAATAAAGGGCGTGGTTAGCATAAGCTTGCAACCTTAAACAATTAAAGTATAGGTGCACCTCCAAACTTTATCATAAGATGTAATTTTTTGTGTCAGGAAATTCCTAGAATGGCACGGGAATCTATTTTTACCTCTAATTATAAAATTTAAAAATCTAATAGTGGTCCAAATCAAGCAAATCTATAAACACATGAAAATCTTGAAAATGGACAGTCCACATAATGTGTTGCAAGATACATTATTTTTAGGACTTGAAATCTTTCTTTTCTCCATATTCGTACACCACAATGTCAAAATGACCAATTAAATATTTTTCCAACATCAACCAAGCATATTTTGAGGGATTTTTGAGGTGCACCTTAATTCTACAATTGGAGGTGTCAACCTTATATAAACGTTTTTATAAAATAAAAAATAAATTTTTTTCAAAAAGATAAACTTATATGTAAAACAGGCTAACGTAATTAATCGCAACTCCCACCTTTTAAAGATATTACTCTTGAAATAAGCAGCTGAATTCCTCCCCAAAAATAAAGTTTTTTTTTTTTTAAATAGCCTCAACTCCCTTAACTAATAGATGGACTCCGGCCCTTCCCTATCGATCTAATAATGAATACTAATGAGGGGCATTCAACATTCTCGATCTGCTTATCCTACCCCTTTAACCGATAAGATGAGCATGTATGGAAAATTTCCACACAGATTTGGAATTTGCGTATAAGTTTTTATCGAAATTTCCATGTAAATTCCTGCTTTGCATCAACGGAGCTCGGTCAAAAATATCACAATCATTCAGACAAATAATGAGTTTTCTTTGCGTGGTAGGTATGTGGTTTGATTTGGCATTCCATGTAGGCTTTTAATCGAGTTCCTTCGCGGGAGCATACTGCACCTCTACTTCCTAGGACGGTTACGAGACTTGGTCCACTGAGGCCCTTGGGTTTTTTGTATTACTCGGAATACATAAAACTTTGCAAATTTCTAAAAAAATAGAAAATATATGAATCATTTATATATACTTTGGATATCTATTGGCAAATATTGGTGAATATTTTGGTGAAAAAATTATGGATGCCTCAAAATGAGCTTTATAGACATTCTATTCTCCAATACTTCTAGTATTACAATCAAGGTTTTTTTTTACATTTACCCAGGTTAAAAAGTAAATATTTTAAAAATTAAACTAAATCCAAAATCTCTCTATCTACCCGTCCTCTCTCTCTACGCACCATTTCTTTCTCTCTCTACCTGCCTTCTCTCTTTCTCTCCACCCGTCTCTCTCTCTACCCGCCCTCTCTCTCTCTCACTATCTACCTACTACCCTCACTCTACCCCGTTTTCTCCTTGTTTTTTTTTTGTACCCACTTTCTCTCTTTCCCTATCTCTCTCTCCCCAAGGGAAGGAGGGTGGGTAGAGAGAAAAAAAGATTTCACGGGGGTAATTTAATCTTTAAAACATTTACCTTTTAACGGGAAGTAAACACAATAAATAACAATAACTGGGTCTACTAAAAGTATTGACGGTAGAATATTTACAAAGTTCATTTTGGGGTATTCATCATTTTCCCCTTGTTTTTTTGCTTGTAATATTCTCTATTTATTTTTTTTCGAATTTTTAAAATATCTCCAACTATAAATTATATAATTTTTTAAGCTTATTTGGATTTTTAGGTTGCTTTTGGTTTATTTAACCTTTACTACTTTTATTTTATGTTTAATATTTCATCTTTTTTATAAAAAAAAAAAAAAATTCCAGTGCTTTTGGCTCTTGTATAGAGCAAATTTCGAAACACCGTTTCCTTGAGCAAGAGATTGCTCAATAGAATTCTCCAAAAAAAAAATGGACTTTTGGGTTTACAAAGCACTCAGGTCTTTGTTTAAATCCAGGAGATTAATTTTTTCTAAGCACATATTAAAGGCTTGAGTCCCCTTTTTTTTTATTTTTCAATGACTTTGGTGGCTAGGTTCCAAATTGAGGTCAACATTTCTAAATTTGTTTCCATTTTTTTGTGGTGGGTGGCTAAGATTCCAAAGACAAGGCCTTGTAGTTTATTTCATTTTGTTTTGTTTTATATTTTTTAACCCCTCCCAATTTTTTTCATGTTAACCACCTTTCTATTTACTGCTGTTTCACAGCTACCACTGATCAAGCTACCCTCATTACATTTTGTGCTTACAGATAACCTGATCCTTCCAGCTTAAATTTCAAAGTTAATGAAAAGTGATACCCAAACAAAAGAGAGAGAAGTTGTTCAAGGGCAACAAGTGCCATTGATAGATAGAGAGACTGGGTATTACACTAAGAAAGAGAGATGCCAATCGATCCTGCTTCTGGCGCTGTGGTGGCATTTTCCCTGAAGAAAGGGGATGATATTTGCACTGCAGAGATAAAGCTCCTCTGCTCGGTGGACAAATACACTGATTTGCTTGAGGGCCATCTGGAAATGATGCGTGCCTACGTAGAGGAATCTCTTGATATGAAGATTGAAAATCGCATGGTCATTGAGTGGATTGGACAAGTAAGAGAGGCTAGCCTTGATGGTGATGATATTCTCGAGTATTACAGGATTCAGTCGCAGAGAAAGAGCTATTGCTGCTGCAAAAAGCTTAAGACTCGCCATCGAGTTGGGAACGAGATAGTAGATATTATGGAGCTTATTGATGCTATTGAAAAGCGGAAAGCTTTGTTTGGCATTAAAATTGAAGGAGCAGGACAGACCAGTTCAAATGGCACGCGTCCACAATGGAAGGATACTAAGGGCTTCAAGGAAATAAAAATGGTGGGAATGAAGAAACAGCAAGACCAATTGACAGATTGGTTAATGAAGGGAAGTCCCGAACTCGAGGTGATTTCTGTGGTTGGAATGGGTGGGATTGGGAAAACTACTCTTGTAAAGAAAGTGTATAACATGATGAAGAATGAGGACCACTTTAATTGTCGCTCTTGGGTGGATTTGTCCCAAAACTTAGAAGGTGAACAGCAACTAAGAGCCATGTTGAAAGGATTCTATGAAAACACAGAACAGGCAGCCTCATCTGCAGTTGACAAAAAGGACCGAGTGTTTGCGCCTTCAAAAGATACGGAGACGATGGGCAAGGAACAGCTAGTGTCATGCCTCCTCTCGCATTTACAGAAGAAGTTTCTCTTGGTGTTAGACAATGTATGGAAGCAAGATATTTGGGATGGCATAGCACATCATTTGCCGGATCTTAGTAATGGGAGCAGGATTATCTTTACATCCCAGATAAGGATCGATGTTGGGCGGAGTCTGCGAGAGCATAACCTCAAGCATCCAGTCCTAACGCCAGACGAGGCCTGGATCTTGTTAAAAAGGGAAGCAATTCGGAAAGGGGATGAAAGCAAAGACACCAGCGGTGTAGAACCGGTAGGGAAACGTATTGTAGAAAGTTGTGGGCGCCTACCCCTGGCAATCCTGGCCGTAGCAGGCATGTTGTTGGATAGAAATCTGGAAAAAGATGAATGGGAGGAAGTACTAAAGAAATACTCATCGGATTTGTGTAACAATCCCTTGTATGGAAAAGAAAAGAATATTTTATCGGCTGTTTATAATGACTTGCTAGCTCCTCTGAAACATTGTTTCTTATATTGTTCTTTGTTCCCGAAGAGCTATGAGATCAAGAGAAAGGTGCTGATTAGGCTGTGGATGGCCGAAGGATTCATCAAAGAGAGTCGGGGACTCACGAGAGAGGATTTAGCAGAAACATATCTCAATGAGCTGATTGGCAAGAACCTGATGCAGGTGGCAAGCACAAGCTCTGATGGGCAAGTTCGAGCATGTCGAGTTCACAATGTGATCTGGGAACTAGCTCTCGCAATCGCTGCAAAAGAAAATTTTGGGGTGATTCTGGAAGGTCAGAATGCCAAACAAGATGACAAAACTCGGCGCCTTGCAATCCACAGGTACCATGAGTACATCCTTGATGCTAAGATGAAGCGACGTCTCCGCTCTTTTCTTGCTTTGGGTGTGAACAGGTTACCTCCTTCCTTATCTTCCATTCTACCCAAATTGAAAAAATTGAGGGTCTTGGATCTGGGAGGTGTTCGTATTGAGAAGTTACCAAAGGAAATCGGAAATTTCATCTTTCTAAGTTACATAGGACTAAGGAACACACTGATTCAAAAGCTCCCTAAATCCTTGCAGAATCTCCAAAGACTAGAAACACTGGATGCTAGAGGAAGTAAATTGGTGTCGCTGCCCAAGGAGATCTCAGCCCTGCAGCACTTGAGCCATCTACTCCTAAGGCAATTTGAAGCATCAAGTGAATTGTTTTGGTTCAATCTACTTCAATCGGGTAAGTTTTCCTTCTATGATTCATACGTACCGATCAGTGTTAGTCTAAGGGGCTTACGAAGGCTTAAGACATTGAAACATGTAAGACTTGATGGCAATTCTGTTAATGATTTGGGGGAGTTGATCAGCCTTGAGAAGCTCAAGATCCAGTTGGGTAGCGCATCGGATGGGAATGAACTATGGTCCTCTCTTCAAAAGTTGAAGCTTCTTCAATATTTAGATATCTTTCCCATTTCTCAAGATAATCCCATATCTGTAGGTTTGATACCTTTGACCCTGCCTCCTCAGAATCTCAGTCAAGATGATCTCATATCCGTAGATTCGATACCTTCGGCCCTGCCTCCTCCGAATCTCAGTCAAGATGATCTCTTAACTGTAGATTCGATACCTTCAGCCCTGCCTCTTCAGAATCTCAGGCAGCTGCGTATAGGTGTGCTTTCAAAGAATTTACTAGATTGGATATGCAGCCTAAAGAGCCTCAGAAAGTTAGTTTTATTTTCTTCTGCATTTACTCATGACCCACTTAAAGCCCTACAATCACTGCCTAATTTGGAAGAGCTTATGCTGTTTAAGGCATATAATGGGACAATAATGGGAGGCAATTGCATCAGAGAATTTCCCAAACTAAGAACTCTCTTTCTTTTAAACTTGGAAAATTTGGAATCTTGGGAGGCAACAGAGGAGAGATCTATGCGATCCCTTAATACCCTTTTTATCGTTGGCTGTAAAAAGTTGAAGAGGTTGGATAAGATAAATCCCCTTAAGAAACTTCACATAGGAAATATGCCAGAGAAATTCATAGCCAAGTTGAGATCTAATGAGGGAGAAGATTGTTACAAGGTCCAACACATACCACAGATTACAGAGATTATTTTGAGGGGCAAAGGTGTGGTACATAAATCCCTCAAAAAGTCTTAGACATTTGTGCTCTAAAAATCTAAGAACTAAGCTCGAAACATGATATGGATACTGTTGACAATTATAGCAGCCAGCTATTCAGTTTTTTATATTGTGGATTACAAGATACTGAGTTTCTTATTTTGTCGGATTACATTTGTAATGAGATTTGTTTCCAAAAGATAAATCTTGTAACTCTATAAATTTCTAGTAAACTAGAGTAATCCCTATTATATTAGAGACTGGTTTATCCTCCGTGGACGTAGGCACCATTGCCGAACCATGTATATCTCTTGTTGATTCTTTCTCCCTCTCTATCTCTCTCTCTCTTTCATCTCTATTTTTTTTGTTGCAAATTCTACATGGTATCAGAGCAGGCTGATCTATCACTAACAATCTTTTGTTGGCTGGTGATTGTGAGATCTAATTTATTCATTACTTGTTCCTTGGGTATCTTCTTGTGTGGTGAGCTTGGATGTTTTTCTCTCGCTTTCTATGATATTCTCTTTCTTTGACTATTATTATTTTGACAAGTTTTCTTTTTAGCTCTTGGAATGCAAGATTTGTAAACTGGTCTTTTGGTGTTTGGAATGCAAAAGGTTTTGAATCTTGAGCACACGCTTTTCTTGGAATGGTATAGCGACAAACTCCTCCCCTGATTTGTTAGCAAGTAATATCTCCGACTTTGTGCACCCTCAAGTTGACCTTGATAGCGATGCAGACCTGTCTCATCCTCCAAAAGCCATGGCAAACCCATGACAAAGCGGCCACTATAAGCAACTTACAATGAAGGAAATCAAATTGTTAACATCATTGTGAGTTTTAATTCATAGCAGTTTATGCACATCAGCGATTTCTAGAGAGAAATTGCAATGCTCATTGGGATCTTTGGTCGGTTCTGATTGAGGTGTCTTCTTTTATTTAATCGCGCTTGCTATTGACCAGGTTAGTCTTCCGGTTCATGTTATCTCTTTAGAATGGTAGATTCAAAAAATAACTCCAGCATTAAACTTATTACTCTACCTTTAAATGAAATTAATTATCTTGCTTTGGCGAAAGTTGTTTCACATTCTCTCTTTACTTGTACGCATAAATGGGAAGAAAAGACTCGAAGCAAGTATGATCTCTCATTTGAGGAATAACAATCCAATGATGATCTTGTAATGTCATGGATCTTGAATTCTATAAAACATAAGGTTTTCAAGAATTTTTACTTTTGTTGAGAATGCCCAAGATTTATGGAATTCCATTAAGAAAATGTACAGCCAACAAAATAATCTTTACTTTTACTCGATGCCTTGGTACTCGAAGAATTCGAGAAGCGAAGTCATGAGCTTGGCCCATCAAAAAGTGACTAACCCAAAGAGCTTCTTTAAAATAACCCAAAGAGAGAGAGAAGAAAGAGAAAGAAGAGATAAATAGAAGAGAAAGAAAGAAGAGATAAATAGAAGGGAGAGAAAGAAGAGAGAGAATGGACCTAAGCTGGCTTGGGTTTATGCACGCCTTTGAGGGTCCCTTTTGAGCGCTCCTTAAAGAGATGTCTTGACTTTTGAGGTTAAGATTGGGGTCTAAGTCTAAGATGAATATACCTAAGTGGGTTAGGGTAGCGTATGAGATAGGGTGTATGATGAAACTGAGGTATATGGTATAGGGAGTAAGAAGTTGGGAAGGCTAGGGAGTAGGAAGTTTGAAGTTTTAGGTAGTAGAGAGTTGAAGGTTCTAGGGGGTTTGGAATTGGAAGTGGGGGGTTTGGAAGTTAGGAGTTGGAAGAAGGACGTTTAGAAGTGGGATGTTTGGAAGTTGGGAGTTGGAAGTTGAGGGTTTGGAAGTTAGGAGTTGGAAGTGGGAGGTCCCAGGACAATTACCTAAAGTGGTAAAGTTTTCTCTGTCCTCACTCTTGAAGTTAGAAGCTATGGATAAGCACAGACTTGAAGGGGCAAAAACCCAATTTTTTTTATTATGCTTCAAAACTTAGGGTACAATAACTTAAGTTCTTTATATAGAGCAACTCCAAAACAAGGGTGGATTGTTCAAAAACAACCAAAATTGTCAAAAAATACACATTTTATGAATTAAAATATTAATCATATTTTTTGACAAAATGACCCAAATACCCCTGAGCAATTTTCAACAAATGATAAAACCATCCCTCCATGAGGGGCCTCTTGTCATTGCTAGGCCTTAGAAGCTTTTTCGGATGTACGGTGGTAATTCGAGTGATCAAATGTCGTAGAATAGATGCTTGAACCATTATGCATGTTTTGATACCCTTTGATCGTCTTGAAACGGATTTATAAGGAAAAACCCAAAATCCGGCCAAGTTCCATACACTTGTGATTCTTTGACCACAAATCCAGCATGATTCATGACGTTCCAAGCCTTCATTTTGATCACAAATTGAAGATGATACTATTACAATCATTTTGTGATGATTTTTGTCCATTTTGATCTCCGTTTGAGCACGTTCCAATTTTGGAAAGTCGTTGAAAAATAGGATTCCGGCAATCAGAAAAGTATGTCATCTTCGACCTCAAAATTCAGTGTCATCTTCCCTCCAATCATTTACAAAAACTATACCAAACTGTAGCTATTCGAAGCACGATCGTAAGGGATCCATACTTGTAATGATCCAAAATCGGGATCTTGAGCTATGGTCTTTCAAAGAATTTGATGTTATTCTTTTTAAAATCTGAATTTTCATATATCGAGCTCATCTTCTCTCTAAAAATTCTCTCGTTTCGAGCCACTCCATGATGCTTGTCATATATCAAAATGAGTGTATCGTCAAGATCTAGCTCGTGTCAAAATTTGAGCTTAATTGGACCCAAAATGAGCAAGTTACGAGCATTTGAAAATCATCCCGAAATGAGAAAGCACAGTTTCCATAAATGGAAACTGGTTCACCGAAGTTGTATCGCAATAGTGTAAAACCCACCGTTTATGGTGACTTAGGTCTAGAATGTTCTTGGAGGGCCTGATTGAGCCGAAATTTGGTACCTGGGGGTTTTTCAATATTTTCGGATCCACTGGCGGTGGTCTGATACTGTTTTGAAACCCAAAAAATAGGCGTATAGTTATAGAGTCCATTTTCAGCATGAAAGGAATTGGATTTGAAAAACAAGTTATGTCATGATCATATCAAAACTTATCAAAACATGACGAAACTTTACAGGTGTCCTTAGGGTATCCAAAACTACCCTCTCATGTTAATTGAGGCCATTCTGAATCTTCTTCAAAGGTCACGTAATTTTAGGCTTATTGCTACAGTGTTCCCATGGTCTGGCTGTGACTTGAGCACTGATAGGACCACGTTACTACCGACTCTCTCCTTATTCACCCCAAGGATAAAAGTATATAAAAAATGACATATAACAACTTGCCTCGCCGAATGCTACTCTTTGAGAGAAGCGAAAAGTATAACATTCGGAACAAAACTTCGTCGGAGTTCATCTTTCGAATCCTTATTGAGGTGCTTTTATTTTCTCTCAACAATATTTTCCTTCGTGATCATCGGCATCAACACGATTCTTAAGGGGGAGGCCATGCCAAGCTTCTTCCCTGAGGGATGACCAAAGTAGATTCTAACGATTGAGGGCCTTTTAAGGGCTTGATAAACTCAATATTGCTAGAATCCATTTTCTGAGGGAGCATGCTGACCGGGCGCCTTGAGGAAGGGCTTACTTTCCCAACTCAACAATACTTCCTAATGAGCAACTGGTGGGTGCATTTGCGGTTTGATCCTAATCCAGTGATATTTTTTGTTCCAACAATTACGGGCCTTGCTTAAGTGCTTCTTTCCAAATATTATCAGAAACCAGATAGTTCTGCTAGTCGAGGGCCTTGCTTGAAGACTTCCTTCCCAATCCGTCAGATATTTATTTTAGAGGCTAGTGATGGGGGGCCTTGCTTAAGGGATTCCTTCCCTTTTTACACTGAACTTATTGATCTTTCTTTTGAGAGGCTAGCGGTAGGGGGCCTTTTAAAGTCTTCCTTCCCCTTTCACATTGAACTTTTGGTATGTCAATGTTGTTTTAGATAGACAACCGGATAGCCCTTAATGGGGCGTATGAACTGCTTCCCCAGGACTTGGACTGATGGCACAAGGGGTGCCTCTTTGGGGGCTTACACCCAATATATTAGGCTTAGTAAGGCCCTCTTTGGTGGCCATCCTGAAAGTATAAACCTATCGGCAATAGGAATCTTAGTAAGGCGGTTACCCTCATAACCAGGGCATCGATCCAGCCTAGGCAATCAATCTCCTTATAAGAACTTTTATCTCGAACTATCAACATGCTCGTCTTGTTTTTATAGACAACTTGGATCGGAGAATCTCTTCAACAAATTGCTATCCTAACTTGCCATCTTAATAAATCTTCCGATCTTCAGGGGCCTTTCAGCAAGGTTGACCCAAATTGCTGAATTTTCTTAAGCTCTTTTTTTTCTTGATGGTAAGGTACCCACGAGGGGTATTGATTCCTAAACTACCAAACTTTTGTTGTAATTGGTTGAAGCCACCTTAGTCGAATGCTGCATCAACCTGTTTATTAGCTCAGACACCCTTTCAAGTATTCACCTGAACTGGATAGAAGCAGTGCTGCAAAACGGTTTTCACCGACTGCTTCTTTTATTAAGGTTCTTTTACCCGTGACTTCACGATCACGTCCACCTTTTTATCTCCATTATTACTCGTGGCGCCCTTTCAGGTTTTTACCTTGCACAATTTTCTATTTTTAGAACACTTTTACTCATGGCTTCATGACCATGCCCGTCTTGCATTTTTACACATGGTGTACTTTCGGGTTGTCACCATAGTGATTTTTTTGGTTTTGGCGATCTTAGCCATAGCTTCGTGGGCATGTCCGCCTGAAGTTCTAACTTTTACTCATGATGATCCTCAGCGGATGCTCATCATGCCTGGCTTCTTTCTTTTTCTTTTTTTTCTTCTTTTTTAAGAGAAAACAGCACCCTTGATGATGCATAAGAAGAGGGGTTATAACTGTACAATGCTCACGGG